CACTAAGTCAACTGAAGAGGAGACAGAAGAATTGCTAAGTTTATAACAGGAGCCCTCTTGTACATTCAAAAGTAGTTCATGGGCCAGGAACCAAGAACCCTCTGTATGACTTAGGGCCACATCATCTCAGCATCTTCTTTTATTTCTGCCTCATTCTTTCTCTTTCTTTCAGTCTACCCACTCTGCTTATGCCTCTTGCACATGGTTAAAATGTGGCTGTCCTGGTCCCTTCCTTGACATCAAAACCTTTGTTTTTCTAACATCTATCATTGACTAACTGCATCCTCTCTGATTTTTAGTTTACATGCTTAAGAGAAAGAGACACTCTTTAGTAGCTGGCCAGGCAGTTCATTGGCTGGTTTAGATGAAATATCTACTCCAGTCCAACCAGCCATCACTCCTAAATGAGAATTTCCCAGTGGTGTCTCCCTGCATTGGGAGCTCTGGGTAGGGCAGTCTAAACTGGAAGAACAAACACATTGATATGTTCCATGCTCTATAAGACCATTAGACTTCCAGGGAGCATGTGGTATGTTCCATACATATTTGGGAAGCATCTGATCTGTGTGCCTGCCTGTGGGCAAAATTTACCCAAAGCTTTCTTCTGAAAGAGCTGTGGTATCCTGAAAAGAGTTGGTCCTAAATTGAATATTGATTCCACCACCTCTGAAACTGAGCTGCAGTTTGTTACCTGTAGAATGGGGATAATAGCACCTACTTGTTGGCGTTGTCTGGAACGTACATGAGGTAATGTATATGCTATTCTCTGCTTGGCACGAGGCAAGAGCTTAGTAAATGAGATTTCTTTAACTTGATGCTTTATGAATATTCCACAACAGAAAATTATTTGCAGTGCATTTAAACTTATTTTTAATTGCAGAAGTAATATATGAATGTCTGAATATTTAAAAGTATGCCATAGAAATTATATTATTTCACTAATAAGTATTTTAGGGGTTTTTTTCCAAACTAAAACACAGTTAGTGATTTTTGCATTCTGTCCAAGAAATTTTTGCCTATAGGGTATGTTTTTAATAAATAAAGTCTTTAAAAAATACAATCACAGTACCATTCTCACAATCAATACATTAAAAATAATTCCTTTGGCTCCAACAGTGTGGCTCAATTGGTTGAAGCATCATCCTGCATACCAAAAGGTTGTGGGTTTGATCCCCAGTCAGGGTACATACGGGAGGCAACAAATCGATGTTTCCCTCACATCAATGTTTCTGTCTCTCTGTCTCCCCCTCCTCCTGTCCAAAGCAATGAAAAAGTGTCCTTGGGCAAGGATTAAACAAAATAAAAAGTAAAAATAATTCCTTGATATCGCCAGTATGAAGTCTATGTTTGATTTTCCTCACTGGTCTCAAAAATTGGCTGTTTGGTTTGAATCAAAATCCAAAATAGATACATTGCACTTGATTGACATGACTTACACATTTCAATCCGTGTGTAATCATTCTCTCTGATTTTTCATGCTATATATTTGGTGGGAAAATGGGGTCATTATACCTGTAGAATTTTCCAGTTCAGGATTTGTATCTTCATGGCATCATTTAGCAGGCTCTTCTAGTCCCACTTTTCCTGAAAACTGGTACATAGATCTAGAGGCTTATTAGGTTTAGATTCAAATTATTCTTTTTGAAAAACTATAAAAAGGGTTTTTACACTGTCTTTTATCTTTTAAAAGATGAGAGATTGAAATAGCAGCTCAGTCGTTCTCATGGCATTTTGCACTTAGGAATATAAGATTCCCAAGACAGAAGGAAGTAAGCATTCACTCCGGTCTCTGACTCACGTATGAGTGAATCACCTTCACTGGGAGAGTTAATGGTGTTGATGACTGCTGTCTGCCAGAAAATGCAGTTAGAAGTCGTAATTACCACTTTATCTTTAATCTATTAGGGATATCTGTAGTCATATAGGACATCTTTGGGTAAATACATTTACATACCTTTAATTAAGGATCTCAATTTCTTGCCTACATTCTAAAGTAGGAATAAAAGTGTTTGAAATGACTAGTGACTAGAGAAACTGCCAGAAGAAAGTAGATAGCTCTTTGAAATGTTTATGTTTTTTATGATTGTTTCAAATGAATGAATACAAAATAGGGGTGCAAAGCAAACCAGGCACACTGAAGCAGGTCTGTAGCGTAGCTCTGCCATGCTGGGGATGCACAGTGAACACGAGCTGTCTCTTCCCTACCTGAGCCTCAGACAAAAAGCTAGACAAAGAAATCAGAGAGCCAACAATACAAATGGTTGGGCTGTGTCTGATAAAGCTATTGGAGAATGTGACTTAGGCCCACAGCAATAACGATCTTGCACTCTGATTTCCTTTATTAGGTGAGCCATTCTCCTAATCAGGGACAGTTAGAAAACCATAGTCCTCTCTGACCCTGAGGAACATGTCAGATTCCTTTCCCCAAACTCTCCACTTAATAAATTGCCCCCCTTACCTAGAGGGAGGAGGAAAGTGAGTGAGGAGGCAGGGTGCAGCTAAGAATGATAACTGAGTGGAGGTTTAATCAACACAGAAACAAGCATTAATAAATGTTCCTCCACCCTGGCTGGAGTAGCTCAGTGGATTGAGCGTGGGCTGCGAACCAAAGCATCACAGGTTGGATTCCCAGTCAGGGCACATGCCTGGGTTGCAGGCCACGGCCCCCAGCAACCGCCCATTGATGTTTCTCTCTCTCTTTCTCCCCCCTTCCCTCTCTAAAAATAAATAAATAAAATCTTAAAAAAAATAAATGTTCCTCCATCACTAAAGCCTATGATATAAAAGAGTAGCATAGGTAGAATCCACTTTCAACACGGCATTTTCAGCAGTGAACACCCTCACACGTAGTTGGTCCCAACTTCCACACTTACAGCATCTCATGTTCAATTGAACAAATGTTTGGGGAGTGTGTGCAAATCACAATGTTGGCAGATGCCAAATGGAAAAAGACACATTCTCTGCTGACCAGGACCGCGTCTTTTAGTGGGTTCTCACACAACCGTACACGAGATAGGTGTGCAGCCCCCAGTGCGGGGCGTTGTGTGAGTAGTGGCAGACGTGAAGATGCTCAGCTCAGAGTTCCCTTGAAGAAATGACTCAGTGTCCAGCTGCAGGGGCTGTGGTTACTGCAGCCTCCAACTATCAGCTCCTTCATGGTCCACTTCAGCTTTCAAGCCATGGTCATGCTCTTTCAGGCAATTCCTGCCCAATGACTGAATCCGGTAGTAATTGAGGTCACACTCTTTTTGGCAGCCGGCACCATTAGCTAAGCAAGGTGGTGATATAAGGGCCTGAACTTTTCTTCCCAGGACAGAACTCCTCCAATGGGCAATCTTTGCTCCCGAGCTTCCCATTGAGCTCAAGTAGGGTGACCAGCAGTTTCAGTTTGCTGGGAGTCAGAGATCTCCCAGGATGTAGGACTTTCAGTGCTACAATGGGGGAGTTTTCAGGCCAGCTAAGAGGGTTGGTTACCCCAGCTAGTGTAAACCTTGTTGGGTAGGCATCAGGGTCGGACAGCTCCCTTTGCCCAGTCCCGCTTCCTTCCCTTTTCCCCCTTTTCAGGGGCATCGCTCCCCAGGTACACATTTTGTCCTCTTGATTTCATCTCAGTGTCTGCTTCCCAGAACACTTGATCCAAGACAGGGGCATGTGTAGCACAGCAACCAAGAAAGACCCAAATACCACAAGAGGAGATGAGGCTGAAAGAAAGTAGGAGGACTAGAGAAAGATTAATTTGATAACTACAGGGATGCACCTGTGTATAAAATTTTCAGCGGACTATTCATTCTATATCTTTTGAAAAAGAGAAAAGGCACATGTGTAAATACTCAATGACTTAAGGTTCCCTATGTTGCATTCAGCAAACTCGAGAACAAATGTCGGAGACTTTCAGGGTATCAAAGATGTTGCTTTATTGGCCAAGTTTAACCTGCACAGGGGCGAACTCTCAAAGTGTCCGGAGACACGGTACCCACAGGGGCTGCAGATGAGAGAGTCGCCCCGAGCGCTCACAGCTAGGTTCTCATATAGGGGTTTTGGCGTGAGCAAGCAAGCAAGCGTTTTACAGAAGCTGATGTGGCAGTTAGCTATTTGCTTACAGAGACCGCGCGTGGGAACAGGGTAAAATTCAAATTTTTAAAACTAAACAGCCCTGGCTGGCGTAGCTCAGTGGACTGAGCGCGGGCTGGGAACTAAAGTGTCCCAGGTTCGATTCCCAGCCAGGGTACATTCCTGGGTTACAGGCCATAACCCCCAGCAACTGCACATTAATGTCTGTCTGTCTGTCTGTCTCTCTCTCTCCCTCCCCCCCTTCCTTCTCTAAAAATAAATAAATAAAATCTTTAAAAAAAAAAAGAATTCTCCCTGTTTAAAAAAAAAAAAAAAAAAACTAAACAAAGCATTGCTTATCTAGCATACCCAGGGGAGAATATCTGCACGACATAGGACGTTTGCTCAACTACATCCTGCACTCTGTCTCCCTTGTTAGTTCCTTTTAGCTACAATGCGGTTCCTGTTTACTAAGGTCACATTTAGTTCTTAATTTTCTTGTTCCCAACACCCTACACTGCATTTGAATGCTCATAGTGAAGGTTTTGCCCAAAAGAAAAAGCCAACTGTCTTTTCCCTGTGTCCTTCTTTAAACATGCTTTGTGACTAATTCCTATGATTTAAGAAGAGAAATGAAAGCAGCTTCATCTTTCCTCAGACTTCTTCTTAAAATCAAGAGAGAATATGGACAGAACGTTACTGCTGGAGAAAGGGGAAGGCATCACTCAGGGCCAGGACTGGAATAAGATGAGTGAGGTACTTGGTGTGCAACATTTCAGTGGTCTCTCACTGGCAGGGTTGTGGAGAGTTGGCGCTGACACGAAGCTGAGAGAGAATACCTCCTTAAATATTACACCCAGGTGCCTCCCTTGCCTCACCCTCATCCGAGCCCTGCTACTGGAAACAGTATTAAGCAACTAATGCCGAACATTTGCTCTTTCCTGCCCCAGGTACAAAGCAATTGTCCGGCCAATGGATATCCAGGCCTCTCATGCCCTGATGAAGATCTGCCTCAAAGCTGCTCTGATCTGGATCATCTCTATGCTTCTGGCCATCCCAGAAGCTGTGTTCTCTGATCTACATCCTTTCCACGAGGAAAGCACCAATCAGACCTTCATCAGCTGTGCACCGTACCCACACTCGAACGAGCTGCACCCCAAAATCCACTCCATGGCTTCCTTTCTGATCTTCTACATCATCCCGCTGTCCATCATTTCTGTCTACTACTACTTCATTGCCAAAAATCTGATCCAGAGTGCTTACAATCTGCCTGTGGAAGGGAATATACACGTCAAGAAGCAGGTGGGTGCTTAGGAATGATTCATTTCCTCCTTGGGGATTTGATCCCTTGCATTTCTTTTTTTTTTAACTAATTTAGTATTATGTTTTTAATTTTTTTAAAGATTTTATTTATTTATTTTTAGAGAGGGAAGGGAGGGAGATAGAGAGAGAGAAACATCAATGTGCAGTTGCTGGGGGTTATAGCCTGCAACCCAGGGATGTACCCTGGCTGGGAATCGAACCTGCGACACTTTGGTTCGCAGCCCGCGCTCAATCCACTGAGCTACGCCAGCCAGGGCTGATCCCTTGCATTTCTTTTGAACGCCACTGACAAGCACAGTATTTAGGTGATCACATCACCTGATTCTATAATTAGGGAAGGTGAGGGGAATCTGTGTCCAGGTGGCAAATGGAAACTCCTAGCCACAGAAGCCCAGCAATTCAGGTGCTCTTTATAAACGTGTTCTCTTCTTAAAGACTGGAGCTACGGAGGTGTTGAGAACCTGAAGGATTTAGAGCAGGGGTGTCAAAGTCATTTTCACCTGGGGCCACATCAGCCTCGTGGTTGCCTACATTCAAAGGGCCCAATGTAGAGCTCCTTGCCCCTAGTTAAGAAGTAGTTACATGTATACAGTCCTAAAGTTACATTTGGCCCTTTGAAGGCAACCTCAAGGCTGATATGACCCCTGGTAAAAATTAGTTTGGCACCCCTACTTTAGAGTATGAGTTCTTTTTGAGAAATATCTGAAACAAGTATTGTTTAGTTATTGTTGTTTTTTTTAAGATTTTATTTATTTTTTATTTTTACAGAGGGAAGGGAGGGAGGGGAGGGAGGGGAGGGAGAGAGAGACAGAGAGAGGAGAGAGAGAGGGAGAGAAACATCAATGTGCGGTTGCTGGGGGTTATGGCCTGCAACCCAGGAATGTACCCTGACTGGGAATCGAACCTGGGACACTTTGGTTCCCAGCCCGCGCTCAGTCCACTGAGCTATGCCAGCCAGGGCTTGTTTAGTTATTGTTGTTGTTTTTTAAAAAATAAAATGTTGAGGCTCAGAGGGATGTGACTTCTTTAAATTCCAATCACATGGTTTGGAGAGGAAGAGGATTTCCACATGGCGAAAAAGCACGGCAGGCAGGAAACGGGGCTGGTTGAAGAAAAAGAAGCGGTTTGATTAAGACAGGCTCACACTGATTCCGTTTCAAACCCAGGTTAATGACTTACCCTCTGTGAGCCTCAATTCCCTTAGCCACAATATAGAGTAATAACCCCTAAGCTGTAAAGCTGTTGGAGGATTGCAAGAGAGCATATGGACACCCCAGCCTGCCCGGAAGGTAGGGTGCCCTCCCTATGTGTTAGACGCCCTTACCCAACCATGTAACCCCTGCAATGTCAGCCTTCCGGTAAGAATGGTAGAAGCCAGAGAGGCTCTGGCTTTCTCCTTTTTGCCGCATCTTCCCTTCCACTCCAAATGCAGATTACGTATTAATGATGGAGAAACAGAAAGACTCCCCAACCATTTCAATGTACAGCGAACTCAGTTGGAGGGTTCACCCTTCAGAGCTGATTTCAGGGGGAAAGGGGAAGCTTTACTTGTACAGGGAGAATGACAGGTTACAGTGAAACTATTTCCTTGCTTGAAAGACCTCTCAATAGTGAATGTACATTGTATTCCAAATTCTTTAATGAGAAAGATGCAGTAAGAACCTTCCTCTATAATATAGTCCAGAAATAACTTGAGATTAAAAAATAAATAATAATAATAATAATAGCTAATTATCTTCGTTTGGCCATTGAGGAAGAACTAAGTTGACTGTGGGAGTTTTGGGGGGTTTTTTTGTGTGTGAGCATCAGGAGAAATAAGAGATTTTGAGCTGTGGAGAAAGACACGAAGTCGCATGGCTGATAAACTGCACCAATGCCCTCCTGAGAAAAGAGAGCACTTACTAGAATTTCAGTGTGCAGTCCATTCGGGCGTGTAATCAACTTTGCTTAAAGATCCGTTCGTCGTGGCATGGGCTAATTGTATTCTGCCTCATGGATTTCTGCTTCCCGGCCCTTCCATTTCTGTGTTTCTGACTCCTTCTCCTTTTTCTGTCTGCTTCTGATGCTTTTCTCTCATGTATCTGATTCTCTCCCGTCCCGTTTCTCCTACCGAGATCATTTTCCATGGCTTTATGGACTTGTCTCTTTCCCGAATTCTTCTCCCCTGTCTTTCTGTCTGAATCTTTGTGTGCGATCCTCCCACACTACCTCTGGGTCCCTCTATCCTCTCTGTGTGCAACTCTCTCCTCAGATCGAATCTCGGAAGCGCCTTGCCAAGACGGTGCTGGTGTTTGTGGGCCTCTTTGCCTTCTGCTGGCTCCCTAACCATGTCATCTACCTGTACCGCTCCTACCACTACTCCAAGGTGGACACTTCCATGCTCCACTTCGTCACCAGTATCTGCGCCCGCCTCCTGGCCTTCACCAACTCCTGCGTCAACCCTTTTGCCCTCTACCTGCTGAGCAAGAGTTTTAGGAAGCAGTTCAACACCCAGCTCCTCTGCTGCCGACCTGGCCTGCTGACCCGGTCTCACAGCACCGGCAGAAGCACCACCTGCATGACCTCCTTCAAGAGCACCAACCCCTCGGCGGCCACTTTCAGCCTTATCAACGGCAACATCTGTCATGAGGGGTACGTCTAGGCTGACCACTGCCCCTGCCCCCCAGTAGCCCTGGTTTTGCTTTGTGGCTGGTAAGAAACCTGCGCATCTGTCGTTGTCTCTGCAATCGCTAAAAACTCTTTGTGAGGCTCAGGAGTGGTATAAGCTGGTTGGGGACAGGCCTAAATGGATCACTATTACATTCCAAAGGCCCATCGAGGCTTCCTTGTTCTTTTTTCTTTAAATTTTTTTAATAATGTATTTTCATTCATTATCTGTCTTTTTTTAAAGATTTTATTTATTTATTTTTAGAGAGGGAAGGGAGGGAGATAGAGAGAGAGAGAGAGAAACATCCATGTGCAGTTGCTGGGGGCCGTGGCCTGCAACCCAGGCATGTGCCCTGACTGGGAATCGAACCTGTGACACTGGTTCACAGCCTGCGCTCAATCCACTGAGCTACGCCAGCCAGGGCAAGGTTTCCCTTTTCCATTTCAACTTGTGAATACTTTTCCTGACAGGAGTAAGAAAAGCAAATTTGACTTTTTTTTTTAAGAAAAGTAATCAAATAGAAAATTATTATTCTAAGCATCCATTTCTGATATACAGGTGTGGCCAACCAAGTTATAGAAACTATACGAAGAACCAAATTTATATAGCAGATGAAATTATACATTGGATGTCCCCTTCGTGAAAGACTTCGCCTTGTCATTTCTTTGAGCAAGAGCTAGTGCTTTAAAAAATATGATTTCAGTTGTATTTCAGGAATATTTATACTCTTAAAGAGACTTTATTGACACTCATAATATGAAGGACAGTGCCCAAGTTAATAATACTGGAAGCCAATTTAAGACAAATTCAAGTGTTGGACGTTACTGAGGACATAGGAAAAATACTTGAGATACTATTTTTAAGGCAAAAACACAGACAAACACATAGACATGTATGTAAAGATCCATGCGTGGCTGTGGAGTAATCTCTCACATTCTGAATTCTAATTTCATGGAAGTTCTTTTTGCCATTGCCCACTTGTAATCAGTTCCACTGTAGAAGAAAAAATCCTTTTCGGCGGGGGGGAATTGATCATGATATCAATTCCTCAAACATTACAAGTGCATAAAGTATGACGTTTATTTTTGGTACACAGGATTTTCAGTCAAATGTACTTATTTAGATTTGGATGTCCTAGTCTGCTACTTTGAAGTAGTAGCTTCCCAGGAAGGAAAAAAAGGATCGTATCTGGGTGAAAAGGGAAACATGTTACATTAAATGAGTGCTTCACTGAAAGTAAGTGGGAGGAAATGAATACAATTTCAGTGACATGTATTTCTATCTGAATATGTATAACACAGTTATGGGGCGCTTAGCTTTAAAAACGGATTAAAAATAGCTACAGATATATTAAGTTCTTACTTAAGAAGAATATTTACAAAGCAGCCCATGTGCAGAAAAATGCTGGATTTAAATCTTCTGAGTAAAAGGATTTGACTATCTTACTTTAGAAACCCGAATCAAGTTTTTTGTTTCTTGGGTTTTTTGTTTTGGTTTGGTTTGGTTTTTCACCCAAGGACAGGCCAATTTAACAGATGGCAAACATGATAACCCATTTCTAGATAAATACAAAGTCTGTAAATAGGCCCTAATCATTAGGGCCTAATGTGTATACCTTACATCCTAAGACAATTTTGACTCTGGTCTTCTCTATTCAAGTGAGACAGAACAATTAGCTCTCTTTTCCACATGACACGTATCAAAAGGCTTTTGTCTCTTGATACAAAGAAGCACTCACTGTCTGCAGAACTTTAGAAGCCAGGACCAAGACAGTCCTAAGGATTTGAGTTTGTGGTTGTATTAGCCGGAGTGAAATCGCTTCGCTTCTGTTTGCTGCATGCACTTATACATTCCACACACCTGCTTTCCTTGTATTCTACAATTCCATTGGACAATTTCAAAACCTGGACAGGTAGTATAGGTGAAAGAACCAAGATTTTCAGCTTGACCTTCCAACTCTGGCTCTAGCTAAATGACCTTGTCTATCAATATCCCTCCTCTAGACTCATTTTTTCATCTCTAAAATGCGATGGCACTGCGAAGGTCCCTTCTATTGCTACCATCCTCTGAGTCTTGTCATTGTTTCTAGTTCTGTGTCTAAAGCATTTATGGAGCACCCTGGCCAGTATAGCTCACTTGGTTGGAGTGTTGTCCCGTGAACTGAAAGGTCATGGGTTCATTTCCCAGTCAGGGCACATGCGTGGATTGTAGGTTCAGTCCCAGTTGGGGTGCGTGCAAGAGGCAACTGATCAACATTTCTCTCACATCAACGTTTCCCTCCCTCTCTCTCTCTCCTTCCCTTCCCCTCTCTAAAATCAATAAGCATGTCTTTGGGTGAGGATTAAATAAATAAATAAAACATTTATGGAGCCCAGCTGTTCACAGTTGCCACATCTCTGTTACCCTTCTCTTGGCAAATCATTCAACCACAGTCACATCCACACGAAATGGAAGGAGATGGACTGTCCCATAACCTCCAGGGGCTCCTTGGAATGATTTCTGTGAATGATGTCCCATTAGCGTGTTATATTTTGGAATCAGAGCAGAAAGAAACATAAGAAAACACACTGATCAGTCTCCTCATTATACAAAGGTACTCTTCTTATTAACCCTTTCCCAACCTCCATGCACCTGCTATTTTGAACCACCGCTCCACAATTTTACCCTTGGCTTCCTTCAAACCTCTTGAGTGTCAGTGATTTCATTTCCAGTTAGTTGCCAAGGTGTATAGCATTCTGGGCACCTAGTGTAACTTGTTTAAGCATCTCTAATCTACTTTCTTCCAAAGACATTTTGAGAGTAGGACTCATCTTAATGTCTCCGTGGTAACTTCATACCGTGGTAACTTTTGGTCAAACAGTGAGGAGACTGAACTCTAGGTTTAACTGTGTGTCCTTAGGCAAACCCTATTGCCTCTTTGAGACTCTTAAATGAAAGGGTTGGAAGAGGCATTTGCCAGCAGGTGGCCTAGAGCTGATAAAACTGTTGTGTGCACCAACTGATGGATTCGCGCAAAGCTAACTGGGGTGGACTTCCCTGGGCCCTTCTCTAGGGAAGTCAAATTTTTATTTTACTTCAAGAACCTAAAATCCCAGTACGAGACCCACACTCTCATGCGGTATCACCTCTCTTCTAGGGTGGAGTGCGGCAGAGGCTTAGAACTAAGACATTTCACGCCTGGCTTCCAAAGATAATCATGTTTAGAACTTATTTCTTTGGCGAGGAAAAAAAAATCAATTTTTGCTCTGGAAAACCATCTGTGTTTATTCAATTGACAGACACCACCTTTCAATCTATCTTAAATTGTGCCTCCCCGAGGCAGGCAACTCAATAGTGATAGATTAAGCAATAAACAAAGCAGCCGTCCCACCAATGGCTGCTGCTGGCAGGGAAGGCGCAGCGGCTGGTAGGAGCAATTATTCCACAGCAAGTTGATCCTCCCAGCTTGGAGAAGACAAGGCCCCTCCCTGTTGTGCATTTGATGATTTCTATAAATGGGGTTGGCTAAACCATGTTGTTCTGGCTGTGCGTACTCCCAGACTGAACCTGGCCTTCTGCCTCATTAGCAAGTCCTGGATTTCCGGCTTTGCTCTATGAACAATTTGGTTTCATCTTGAAGGCTGAGGAACCCTTAGGTAAATAAACAATTTAGAGGCTGCTCACACGAACCAAGCTCAGCTTGTTATCTGAAAATGTATATTGAACAAAAGTAACTGAACTTGTCTATAAGACAACGGGCGCAGTTAAGTTCTAAACTCTTCGTTTGTGCCAAAACTAGCAGTCAGTCATTGGTTTCAAAGTCTATTCATGCACTGAATGGTTTCTGTAATAGAGGTTAGCTTTGTTTGGGGACTACACGGTGAATGACATCCTCAATCTGTGGATTAAAACGTAGCTAAGTGACTTTTCTCAGAAGCCAGATAGACACCATGACCCTGAGAACCCGACTATAGGAGAGGAATGAATAGTTTGCACTTGCGTTGTGATGAATGCAAACTTCTTATAATTTGGGCCCTTCACACCCACACCAGGAGAGAATTAACCCCGGGTTCCTGGGAAAAGGGGATCATATTTTGCACATTTGTCCAGTGTTTGGCTGAATTTTAATGAAATGGATTAACAGCTGACAACAAGCTCTGTGCGCGCTATTCCGTGAAGGCAAGTCCCAACAACCTCTCCTTTATTCTGTATCCAAATGGTCATTCCTCTCAGCTCTCACCTGGATGTGTCCCTGTAGATAGATTGCGGCTGAATATATCTAGAGCAAATCAACAAATAGCACACCGAGAACAGGCTTTTCTCTTGTGAGGCTTTGTTTTTAAAAATGCAGTCAGTAGAATTTATCTACATTTTTAAAACTTTAAGAGCCCCTGAGGGCCTGTCTATTATATGTGCACAATTAAGTTTTAAAAAGACTTTGCATTTACCTACTGTCCATGGTCTACAAACACTTTTATGCTCATTGTCTCATCTAATCCAAGCCCTCCCTGCGGACCAAAGAGCTGCTTTGTATCACTGACCATGGAATTTTGCAAATGACATTTACTAGTGATGATCTATTATTAGATTAAGAGACCCATGGAACTATGGGGCTGAGACATGTGAAACTGCAGATACCGGACTATCTCTGACCTGCAAAAGGGTGATTTCATAAGGTTCCATTGAATCTGATTGCATGCATTCTCAAGGCTTGTTCTGTGATATTGAAGAACAGAACCGATCATTGCTCTCCCAGCTACAGATTCATCTGTCATCCCCAAAGCAAGTCGGTTTAACTTGGCACGAAGGAATGAACCATGTCATTGTTGGTTGCCCCAGGAGAGGCATTAGTGGCAAGAGCATTCTGCATCACAGTGCAGTGGAAGGCTAACAGAAGAAGGGCAGGATCCTGGGGAGCAAGCACAATACAAGCCCCAAAACACACTGCATTTGTCCGAAACTTGAATGGAGTTCTTTGGCTGTAGAAGTCCTGCAAGAAAGGGGCTCAGCCTCAG